GCGGTTCCCAGCCTGTTTTTGTGAGAAGCCTCAGCCTGGTGGGGAATTCTGAGAGGGAGGTGAGGGGGATGGGAGCAATTACCACAGAGCCAGGAGTCCAATGAATGGCTCGGCTAAACTGTCCCTGGGAGAGCCTCTCACGGGCATGGGGTCTGAGATCCCCACCTGGCTCCTTTCCTGAGTGTGCGGGTACAGAGAGGACAGGGGTGTGCACGGTGGAGGGCATGGCCCGGAGCCTTGGAGACTCTGCTCCGAGGCTGCCTCAGTCGGCAGGGCCTGGCTCCTGGCATGTCTGGACAGAGCGACTAGCTCCAAGTCACCTCCTCAGGGACGGTGCCCTCGTGTCACTCCTAAGCACGCCTAAGGCCATAGATGGACCTCTTCTGAGCTCATCTGAATCAAAACAGGTCTCTCAAGACCATTGCTGAAACCGGTGTCTGTCTCCCACACTGGCTCTGGAGGGCAGTGACCACAGTTATTATGAATGTTTTTCCTGAGCCTGGAATGCAGTCACAGTAACAAAAATATTTGCCATACTGAGAATGACAGAGGCGCATGTCTGTAGCAGGTGACCTGGTAAGATTTACGCAAAAGAAAAGTCACAAACATTTAATCAAATATAACCTACCTTATCTATAATTTAATAAAAGTGTAAAATGCAAATCAACTGAACAGCAGAACGACCATCCGGACAACCTTCCGGACGACCATGCTATGACACGCACTGGTGCCAGGCCAGCCAAGGCCAGTGCAATCCGATTGGTTGGGGGGCCCACCATCGCCCCACAATGGCCCCGCAGAGGGAGGCCCAGGCCACCGGCCAGCGGGGCGATCAATGGAGCGGGGGACTCCACGATCGCCCCAAAGAGGAAGGCCCAGGCCACCCTCTGTGGCGCAATCGATGGCGGGGGCGAGGGGGGGGGTGCGGGGAGGGGACCCGGCAGAACCAGGGAACCAGGGGTGTGTGGTGGCAGACATAGGCAGCGCCAGACCAAGGCGGGGGTGGGTGGGGGGCTGTGAAGGCCTACCCTTGCAAGAATTCTGTGCATCAGGCCTCTAGTAAAAGATAATATACAGGCATACCTTGCTTTATTGCACCTCACAGGTATTGAGTTGTTTTTTTCTACAAACTGAAGATAAGACTCTTCACCAGCAAAAAGATTACAACTTGTTTTATTGCATTACGACTTGCTTTATGCAGTGGTTTGGAACCGAACCCACAGAATTTCCAAGGTATACCTGCAGTTTCTTAAAGGGAAAAAACCTCTCCCAACTCAGAATTCTTGAGTGGATTGTGCCTACAATGAAAAGGGCTAGAATAGTGCCTCACGCAGAGTAGGTGCTACATAAATCCTTTTGTAGGATGAACTTATAGAAGTTTTCAAAAAGCTTTTGCTAGATCTCACACTGAAGTCAATTAAAAAAATGAATCATTGTCATTAGACTGGGAGAGATGTTTGCCAAGAAAGAAGTCTGGCCTGGGGATAGGAACAAGGCATAAAGAAGAAAGCCCCCGGGGAGCAGCACAGAGCCCCCCCACCCCCCCTGCCTCCCACCCTACGGACCTGGAGGGCGGGCCCAGCATTGTACCTGAACACCAGGCACCTGCAGCTCTGGGAGATGCAGGAAGAGGGAGGACACCTCCATATGTTCCTCCGAATATTAATGGGCTCCAACTGACTGGGCTGCGGTCACAACTCTGCTCTCTGCGGCACGAAATGGGGTTGACTTAATCCTGTTTTGGGAGGCCTGCAGGCTACGAGCCCTATCCCAGTTACAGGTTGCGAGAAGCCCCCTGAAACCTATAAACAGAGCATCCACAAGCAGTTGGTGCCCAGACAAACATGAGGTAGGGGGAGGAGAGCACCAGAGCCTCTGTGGCCAAAGGCTGGTCACAACAGTCCCGGAAGGCAGCCTGGAGGAAGTGAATCTTGACCTTAGGAGAGAAGACAACACAAGGTTCCATGCAGTGGGGCAAGAAGAGTTCCAAGTCAGGAGGTGGGGGCGAGAGGGTGTTGTGGGGGTGAAGGGCCTGGAGACCCGCATAGCCACCCCCTCCATTTTCTCCTACAAACCACCTCAAACCACAGCTTCCCATATCCACTGATGCCTGCACTGTGACCCCAGCCACCCAGACACTGACGCTCAGTGGTCTTCCACTCCTTCCTCTTCTCTACCCCTGTACCCCCACCCTTCCAAGCACAGGTTCTGTGAATTCTGTCCTGGCTTCTTCAACAGGTTATTCCCTGTCTGTGCCCATGTCTGCCTTGTTAGCTCAGGCCCACCACCTTTCTCCCTGACCTCTTCAGTGGGCCCCTTACATGGCTCTGGGCATGGGGTCAATCAAGCCCCCTAAACCCCAGCTTGGTGTGCATTGCTCCTCATTCAAAACTCTTTCTTGGCTCCCTATTGCCTTTGGAATAGAGGTGGTCAGCATGACACGGGGTGGAATGAGGCCATGCCTTCCTCTACAGCCAGCCCGTGCTGTGGGCAGGCCTGTGCTCATTGCTGCTGTGCCCCTACCTGGGAAACCCACACCCCCCCTCTTCCGGGCTGGGAGTCCTGGCCCGCCTTCAAGGCTCCTTTCTAGGCCCAGCTCTCTCACCACCAGGGCCCCAGCACTCGGCTCCCTCTCCTCCTGCCCTGCTCCCAGAAGCAGGCACTTGACTGGGATAGTCTGATCACTGAGCACACATCCTCTCTTTCTATCAACAACAAGTCCACTCACAGCTCTCCAAGGGACCTACCCTGTGCAGTGGGGCCTGCTGAAGTGGTCACTGAACTCTTTACGATAGGCTCTCTCCTAAGTCCCTGTTTAGCCCAGGATCTCGAAGACTTGGAGAGTGAAGCTCTGAAGAAGGAATGGTGGACAGAAAGAAAGTGGGACTGGTATTTTGAGACAAGGCATTCTCTCTACGTGGCCAGATAGACAGGCCTGTTTCAGGGTCTGCTTCCTCCATTGCAGTGAAACTACCAGAAACTGGGCAAGCCTGAGGGCACCACCAGTCTTTCAGCCTCTTGACCACTGTTGACAGTGCTGAGGAGTAGCCATTAGCATTTTTCCTTGATGGACAATTCTCTTGGTGAGCTGATGGATCATGAAAGGTTTCTCAGCTGCACCAGCATGCTGCCGTGTTAACAAGAATTAACTTAGAGGTAACATATCATAGTGGTCTAGGCATCGGGACTGCCTGCGTTCAAATCCCAGCCCGGTTACGAACTAGCTGCGCAACCTTGAGCAAGGTGCCTAACTTCTCTGTTAGATGGGCAGTATAGTCGCTGTGAGGATTAAATGAGTGAAAAGTGTCAGATGTCTGGGACAGTGCCGGGCACATAGTGTCCAATAAATGCCAGCCATTCTTAGTTTTCAAAGGAGAATTACAAATATTTAAGATATTTTTAAAAGTTGGATTTAGGGCTGTCTGCATAGTCCCCTCCCACCCCCTTCCCAGTCTCTATCTTCTCCTTGTGCCGGCCTGCTTTTCATTTCTTCAGTTTAGTCGAGTGGATTGTTTGTAAGTGGCTGCTGGTGGCTCTGCAGGTTCCAGACGCACAGCTTTGTGCCTTGCCTTCAGCTGGCGGAACGTCTGTCTCCTGAGGACATCACAAGGCGCAAGCCTGTGGGGCACACATGTCCCAAGGGCGGCAGCTGCCCACCCTCCCTGCTGCCCAGAGAGATTGCCACAGGGAAATGCCGCTGATCAAAGCTCTGGATCAGTTTTACCAAAGACTTTCCAAGCGAGAGGGGCCCACGGGGGTGACGGGAAGGCAGTGGCATCCAGTCCCTTGGACATCTCACCACAGCAATCCCCACGCCCCCGGTATGTGCAGGCTGCACTAGCAGAGCCGGGGGTGGGTGAGATGACCTCTGGAGGACCCTCCCAGTATGGCCCTATGCCTGTGAAAAAGGTATCCCGTTAACACATGCAGAAAATTCAACATTTTTCTCTCTCCTGGCCCATTTGCCCATTACTACGTCAGCATTTAGATTCAAAATGCTCCGGTCTTCCAGACCTGCTGTTTGAGCTGCAGCGTGAAGAGAGGAGCTCCGTCGTGAGCTGGGGGTGGGGGTGGGGGTGGTACTGCTATCTTCAGGTGCTTCACTCTGGGTTTTAGGAGGGAGGCAGGCAGCAGATCAAGGGGTCAGGGAGGCCTCGAGTGGAGAGCCGTCGGAGAGCAGCTCAGTGCAGGGCGGGGGATGTTTCTGCCATCTCAGCTGCTCTGGATTTGACAGGACCTGTCAGTTGGGCCTCGGCTGTGGCAGCTCTCTGCCCCTCAGGGTAAAAGGACTGTGACTTCCGGGAAGCTTTGTACCCTGCCCTGCCAGCACCACCAGCACCAGCCTCACGCTCAGGCCGCTCAGGCCGGACCTTGTTCTAGCGGTGGCTACTAGAGAGGGGTGTGGGGAGTCTGCTGGTCTTGGAGCTCCCTCCCAGGTTTGGAATTTACAAACACACTTCAAACCAAATTGAGGGTCCAGGGAAAATACCCCCTCACTCCTGTCACTTCTCTAGAAGTCCAGACCCCCAAAGGACCCAGATGGCAAGACTCAGCCCCCCTTCTTCTCCCCACCACTCAAGAATGTGAACTAGCAGCAAACAAAAGTCTCATCCAAATTAGGAAGCGAGCAGCTCTTTCTGCCGGTGAGTGTGTGCCATAGGGGATGTTTGGAGTTTTGGGCTCCTGCACAGGTCCCTTCAAACCCACAATGTTACTAAGACTTCAGCTGCTGAGCCTAAATCAGTCCTGTGCCATCCCATCACCGCACACCCTTCCCCAAACCCAAAATGCTGCTGCAAAAGCAACTGTCAGCTCAGGGCTCCTGGGAGGCACCGGACCCTGTGCCTCTATTTCCAAACCTGTGAACAGAGCCGTCTCCAAGCAAGAGCTGTGGGGTGTTAGTACAGGCCCCCGTGCTCTGAGGGGGCTGCTGCTGAGGTGCTGGGAGGGGGCTCTGCTGGACAGATGCCGAGACCTGGGCATGCGCCAAAGAACTAGACTCCCACCTACACCCCCCACGGACCCTGAGTGGGGCACCTGTCCTGAGACGGAGGGGGACACAGAGGCTCTGGGCTATGAGTGCTGATCAATAAGACCACGGCTCCATGAGCTGGCAGCGATCAAAAGCCCCTTCCTCCCCAGCCCTGCCCTCATTACCTTCTTGGGAGAGGATGATGAACTTGGTAGTCTTGAGTGTCTTTCCATTCAGCGTCCAGGTGACGGTGGCCGGGGGGTCAGAGGACACCTGGCACTGGAGCAGCAGCTTCTCGCCCTCTGCCACATGGACATCCCGCAGCTTCTCCGTGAAGGTCGGGGCTGTCCCTTGGCTCTCTGATCTTTGCTCGTTATCTGTGCCTCCTGAAGGCCCCCTCTTGCAGTTCACATCATTCTTAACCTCCTTCTTGAGTTCTTCTTTCCCAGCTGGTTTTGGGCTCTCAGCTGGCTTGGTATTGTCCAAGGGTTTGGGGGTTTCAACAGGCTTGGCATTGCTCGTAGGTTTCAGGGTCTCAGCAGGCTTGGCATTGCCTAGGGGTTTCGGGGTTTCGGCTGGCTTGGCGTTGCCCAAGGGTTTGGGGGTCTCAGCCGGTTTGGCATTGCCCACAGGTTTCAGGGGCCCCGAAGGCTGGACATTGCCCACCGCCTTGGGACTTTCTGCCACTTTGGCATTCAAGGCCTCAGCACTGCTGCTCCCATTCTCTGCTGGTAATTTTTTCTTGCTGCCCAGCACTGAGCGGAAATCCGGGGTGGCAGGTTTTGCAGGGGGTGCCTTCTCAGGCACTGGGGTCTTGGGAGTCCCTTTCTTGGCCAAGACAGAGCGGAAGTCAACCTGCTGGGGACTGTGCACCTTCCTCTCTTCCTCGGACACGGTCTTGGGCTTCACTTGCCGCTGCAGGTTGGCGCGGAAATCCATCTGCTCGGCTGGGATCTCCTTCAGGTCTTCCTCCGACACAGTCTTGGTGCTCACCTTCTTCCCCAGGAGGTCGCGGAAGTCCAGCTGCTCCACCTCCTGCTGGCGGATGGCCTCCTCCGTGTGCTGCCGGGTCTCCACACGCCTCTTCAGTAACCCCCGCACGCCTTCACCGTCCTCCTCCTCAGGCCAACCCTGCCCTCTCGCCGGCCAGCTAGGCCTCAGGGTCCCATAGCAGTCACCATCACCACCATCAGCACCAACTCCTCGGCCACAGAGGCCCTCACAGCTGGCAGGCTCCCTCCCCCTGCAACCAGTGAGGGGGAAAAGGAAAGCAGCAGCAGGAAAAGGGGCCGGGAGAAAAAGAGACGTCAGGGGAGAGCAAATCCCTGAGGGAGGCAGGGTAGAGGGGAGGGGAAGGAATGGTGGGGGCTGGCCAGGCTGTGTTTATAGAAGGGAACATTGGTGAGAGGAGCTTGCTTGCTTAGTTGGTTTGTTACATCGGTAATGACTTCAGTAGCCTTATAAGGGTGTGTGCAAAAAAAAAAAAAAAAAAAAGAGAAATTCACCCCCTCCCTGCTCTCCCTCCCTCATTCGCCTTCCAATCGCTCCCTCTTGGCTTGGGCAGCTCAGCCCGAGGACACAAACAATCTGGGACTGTTGGGCTGGGCCTGCAGGGGCCAGGAGGAAGGTGCGTGGGTGGTGGCATGGGGCCTGGCCAGTCAGCTCCTGGGGGGCACTCACCGCAGGGGGGCTCGGGTAGGGCTGCTCTGTAGCATCAGTGACACTTGGCAACTGCATTCGCCAACCCGGTTCCTAAGGAATTCAAGGGGTCAGTACAGATCAAGAGGCTCTCGGCTGAGGGCCTTCCCGGGCTGCGATGAGGGAAGGGCCGGCAGGACTTGACCACAGGCTGGCTGCTGGATCCAGGAAAGATGGGACCACAGGCTTAGCTGTGACCCCCACAGGCCAACCCCAGCCCTAGACTTAGGGCAGGGCCCTACCCCCCTCTCCTTGGCTCACCCTTTATTTTCCCAGCTCTTGTTTAAAAAGGAAAAAAACAACAAAAACAAACCAGGATCTTCTGAACAACAGCTAAGATAAGCATCCAGAAGTTGCAATACTTTTCTGTAAGTATATTGCAAAAATAATTCAATCAATAGATCGCTCAATCAATAAAAGAAGAGTAAAGACTAAACTAATGGGGGCCGTGATGGAGCTGCTTGGTCTAGAGCAGTGGTCGCCAACCTTTCGGGCCTCACTGCTGGCGACCGCTGGTCTAGAGTGTGTGGCCTTGGTCAGCCTGCGAGTGACCTTGAGTTTGACTCTGTGCTCCCTTAATACAGAGCTGGGTACTTCCCTCTCCTCTACAGTGCCCCCATCCCCCCACTACTTCTCCTTCGCCTGCTCAAGAAATGAAAACACCCTCCAATCCGTACTCATTGGCTAATGCCCTCAGGTCAGAACTTTTTGCGTTGAAACCTAGCAGGTGTCTCCCTAATGGGTGGCCCTCTCTCTTCTTCCCTCAGATGGGCTCTGGATTCTCCAGCAGCTGATAAAACTGTTCAGTCTCTCCGAGCTGGTGGGTGACCAGCTGGGCCCCTTCTGCTCAGCAGAGGGGCTATTCCAAGCTTGGGTGCCTGGAGAACATAGAGCAGCAGCTCAGCCCGCCAGCCCCACAAGGCTGCCATCTGCTGGCGTTTCTGAGCTCTGACCAGCCAAGAAGTCCTGCTTGCTGGTGGAAGGGGTGGAGGCAGGTCTGAAAGCCAGAGGCTTCATGGTGATAGACACCCGTGTTATACAGCACCCTCCAGCTCGCATCATGTCGTATCTGTTCTCGTTCTTGTCCCCAAGCATCCCAGTGAGGCATAGAGAACCATTATGTCCGTTTGAAAGGTAAGGAAAGGAGGCTCAGGAGTTTCTGTGAGGCAGTGCTGGGGTTCTGGGGTGTCCCACACATCCCACTGCACACAACCATCTTACCAGCCCTTCAGGGGCTGAGCCTGCCTCACCTGCTAGCACAGGTGTGCCAAGCTCTGCGACAGGTTCCTCACATAATCCACCTTACTTAATATTATGACAACTCTGTGAGGTTGGGGTCAGCACCATTTTTATAGGTAGGAAAAATGAGGCTTATGATGTTAAAGTAATTTGCCTAAACCCACAGAGCTAACTAGCGGGCAAAGAGGCTGGGACATGGGTCTACCTAAATCCAAGACCTGTGACCTTCCTACCCCTCTCTACAGTGCTCATCAGTACAAATCTATTCCGGGATATGTGTGCGTGTGCGCGTCTGTGTGCATATGTATAGGTCAGCCACACACACGGGTTCGCATGTATGTGGGGTCGACCTGGTGGGCACCTGCACCTGCAGGTCCATGTGTGGGAACATGTGCCCATGCACCAGTCACCCCACATGGACAGACATCTGAACACGAGTTCATGGAGCTCTGCTGACGGATGTGGGTACCTTTTGCCCGGTTTCCCTCCCCATGGAGGGCCGACTCTGGGTCAGACAAGGGCAGCCCATGGTATGGCAGAGGACTCTCAGGGCTGCTGGGGGTTGCTGTTCACTCCCCAGTACTAGGACCCATTTGAAAGAAAGAGAGGTTGATCTTTGCTGCCCCCTTCCTCTTATCTGGTGGGTCCCCTTTGGGCCACCTTCCTCAAGGCTTCCTCTCAGGGGGCACAGGCTCAAGGTTCAGGAAGCCTCATGTCTGGAGAGTTCGACAGCCCAGAGTGCTTCTTTGCTCAACAATGAGCAATTAGGTGCCTCCCCAGTGCCAGGCCCTGGGAAGGCTCAGGGGCCTCCACAGCACCCTGAACACTCAACACAGAAGGCTACAGAACTTGGGTCAACCTGAGAAATAACTGTGGGAGTTCCTTTAGGCGGAGGACCAGCCCCTGCCAGGCTGCTGGCCAGAATTAGGCCATCCTTTTCCCACTTTTCTTTCAGGCACAGGGTTGGTGCCCGGAGTTGGTGGGAAGCAGGAGGACAGGATGCCCCAAGGGCCATGTTTCCTGGGAGCCCTTTTCAACATCTCCTTAACCGAGTTTGCTCTTGTCACAAGTAGAACGCAGGCCAGATGCAGAAACCAGGAGCAGACACTGACCAGATGGCCCTGCTCTACCCCAGCCACACTCCTCAGAAGCTTTAACTGAGCTGGAGTAAGCTTTGTCTCCTCGTGGGGGGACACAGGTAAGAGGTTCTGTTGTTTGCCAATCCCTGCCCTCAAGGAGGGCAGCACAGGCAGCCTGCTGCTCAGCCCATTCCCAGGCCTCACTCGGAGCCCCCAGGGCAGTCTGGGGGGCCGGTAGGGAGTGTAGAACTTGGGATTCCCACGGCTGGCCCACCAAGTGAATCATCCCTAGAGGTGGTCTGGGGGTCACTATTTCTGCAGCTATAAACTTAAATCTCTGCAGGGCCTTAAAGGCAAATCATGGTTCACTGAAAACCTGCAAAGATCAGAGAGGCCTGCTGCCTGGGACCCACCCCAGATAACCTCCCAGCTGGAACAGCCTTTGGGGCCATCTCTGGTGTCATCGCATACTCAGTCAGAAGTACGTGCTGGGGCCGAGGATGAGGCCCCTGCCCCGCGCCCAGCCCAGGTGCTGCCCCAGAGGATATGGGCCTATCACCCTATACGGACAGAGCTCCTCTGCCCCCACCTCCCAACCCCCGAATAAGAAGTCCTCTCCTTGCTACAACACTTTTGGGCCTGTCCCACTCTAAATCACCCACCTCTGGAATGGATTTTTATAGGCAAAATTAAAGATTTGATTTCTTAGGAAGCAAAAATCTTTTAAATAATTCAGCTGGAATTTGGAACTCACTTTTTGACATTTCCCCTTTTAGTTCAGGAGAGAAAAGCTAGGGAAGGGAAGGGGAGCTAGAAACCACCCACCATATGTACCCCCACCCCAGCCTTCCCACCCCCTCTTCCTCCCAGCATTCCAGTTCCTCCTTGAAAGGCATTCTGCCCTGGGTTGAGGTCTGATTCCTGTCAGGATGAGAAAAGCAAGAGGGGAATGAGGTCCTGGCAGGCCTGGCACACATTCCCCAGGAGAACTTTCCACTGACTCGCTCCTTCTCGGCTGGGGACGAAGCCAAGGCCAGGGCACCAGCCTCCCCAAGGGATGAAAAGACTGGGCTTTGGGGAGGGAAAGGGGGCAAGGGCTGCTGGGGGTGAGGACTCCAGTACGATTTCCCAGGTTCCCTAAGTCCCCAGTGCACTTGGAAGAAACCAGGAACAAAAGCGCATCTGATTCCAAGGCAGAGATTAGGGTTCTAATCTGGGCTCTGTACTGGCCTTTGGGTGGCCACGAGCAAGTCCATGACCCCGAGACCTCAGTTTCCCCCATTATTAAATGAGGAGGCGGCGAGCTAACTTCTGAAGTCCCTTCCAACTGGGACAGTCTAAGTTTTATGACTGTCCGCAGCTGGGCCCAGACAGTCTGCCTGCCGACCTCCCAGTGCAGCTCTCCACGCTGGCCTGGCTGGCTTCCCACTGCCCGTGCCTTGTCTTCCTACCCTTTCTTTCTTTCTTTTTTAAAAAAAATATATTTTATTAATTTTTTACAGAGAGGAAGGGAGAGGGATAGAGAGTTAGAAACATCAATGAGAGAGAAACATCGATCAGCTGCCTCCTGCACACTCCCCACTGGGGATGTGCCCGCAACCCAGGTACATGCCCTTGACCGGAATCGAACCTGGGACCCTTCAGTCCGCAGGCTGACACTCTATCCACTGAGCCAAACCGGTTAGGGCTTCCTACCCTTTCTTGCTCAGTCTATCCAACAGGCCCTCAGCAGGCAGGCCTTTTACTAAGTTGCTAAGCCTCAGCCTGTTTTCCTCAAAAGGCCCCCCAAAGCTCATCTCTTTTCGGATGTCTGGTTTGATTGACATGAGTAACTGCCTCAAAGTACTACTCCTTCCATACAGACAAGCTCTGTTCTCACATATAAAGTTTCCATGATCTGTACTGACCTAGGAGAGAGGAAGAGTGTGTCTTCTGCCTATTTTGGATGCAGATTTGCCTTCCTTAGAATAACTGGTTCAGGCACCAGGCAAAGGCTGTTGGTGGGTCTGGGCACACTACCAATGGCTGCTAGCAGGGTGACTGGCCAGCCTACGACCATCTTATCAGCTGTCCACAGATGTGTCATTAGCTCAGCTGAGATTTGTTGAGACCTACCTAAGTATCAGCAGAACTTCCTAGCAGATCCACAGACTCCCAAGACACAAGAATGGCTACTTCTCAAAGCCACTCAGTAACGGGATGGTTTGTTAGGCAGCAAAAGCCACCTGATACAGGTAGAAAGCACATGTGTGGGAAGGACCCCAGAGCACATGCCAGGTGCTGTGATTATGATAGCGACAGTGCTCCATCCTGGCCGTGGCCGTGGCGTGCGGCTACCGAGCCTGTCTGTAGCTCAGAGCCTTAAACATGATGAGCTCAGGACAGGGAAACGATCTGTCCAGGAGATCAAGCCCTCTGACCAAGTGGCCAAGCACCTGAGCCAGGCAGGTCCAAGCCTCCTCGGGGTGTGGCACAACCTCCTATTCACAGAGTCAAGGTGCAGACACGCGCTCTCCTTCAGCGCTCACAGCAACCCGAGGGGCTGGCTTTTCGCCTCCATCTACCCAAGGTTGGCATGGCATGTGAAGAGTTAGAGCATTAAAAAAACAGAACATCTCTGGATCACATTCATTTATCAGACAGTGACCACATGCTGGCTATGGGCCAGACATGTTCTAGGCACTGGGAACATGGTAGTGTGCCCTCAGGGAGCTTACCTTCTTGTATAACCTAGAAAGGCCTTGAAAGAGAGAAAAAAAAGGAATGGGGAGAGTTAACTTCTCTGCAGCAGTCTGAAAATGTCTATGGCTTCTTTGATACCCCTCTCTCCAAAGGTGGAATTTATTCTCCTCCCCTTGAGTATGAACTATGTACTGAGCAACTCACTTCTAACCAATATAAAATGTGGCAGAAGTGACGGTGTGAGACTTCTGAGGGTGAGCCATAAAAGATACTGCAGATTCCAGCTCATTCTCTCTTGGATCACTCTCCCTCTCCCTTCCTCGCTCTCTAACAATCAATTTTAAAAAGTCTTTCTAAAAAGATGCTAAGTATTGGGGTAATCTGTTATACAACAAGAGATAACTGATATACTCCCTCTACCTCCTGCTTTTCTAATTTTAATCCATTCTTCCCTCCTTCATATTCTCCACACACCAAATAATGGGGGAGCAGAAGCCAGGATGCAGTAAGACAGAGGTCTTTGGGGAGCGGAGCCCAGAAGGGACGATTCTCCGTGCACATCTACGGTACTGAAGTGGAAGAAATGAAAGCTTGTCAGCGGCACCAAGTCTGCACTTTCTTTGCCTTGAAGCCCAGCCCATTGTTTTGTGCTTCTCCTGGCTTCCCAGCCCCAGGCAGGAAGTTGGAGGGGTGTAGGAACTTGGGGGCGGGACATGCACTCACTTGAGCAGGATTTCATACTGGCCGGCATGCCAGGGCTGCACATTCTTCAGGACCAGGGTGAACACGTCCTCGTTCTGCAGCACCTCGAAGTGGCCGGCGTCTTTGGAGAGGGCCTTGCCGTCTCGGAGCCAGTGCACGGTGGGGAAGGGGTCGCCGGCGATGGCACAGGAGATGAGGACGCTCTGGCCCAGGGAGGCTGTCACCGAGCGAGGCTTGCTGATGAACCAGGGCTGGGTGCCATCCTGGGGCTCTGGAAGTTGGCAAAGCGTTGAGTTAGAGAGGGAGGCCTTTCAGCAGAGAGCGTCCACTCAGCTCTTCATGGGGGTGAAGGTCGGAAGACAGCACGTTACCCAAATAACAGCTTGTCCAGAAATCACTTCTATTGCACATACAGATATAGCATATTCTGCTTGTGGCCATTTGTGTTGGTTACATTCTCAGAGGATAATATTGACATGAATGGTATATCAAAGCAAGGGGAGGTAGCCCAGGATGTGCCAGGCACTGGGCTGGGCACCAATGATCCATATTAGTTGTGATGAGGAAGATCTGTACTTGCTTATGAACTGGTCTCTCCTCTCACATGGAGGCTCCCTAAAGGCGAGGACCCCAATAAGCCCGTAACTCACGTCAAAAGCCATCACTGCCAATTTGCTACATGTATCATGAGATTTCCCTCCTGGCACTCTATGTGGCTGTCACCAGAAACCCAGAGAGGGCAGGGACTTCAAAAGGCAGGGAAGAGCTGCCCTACTCAGCCAGACCTGAGATGTAGGGTGAGGAGCTGGTCCCTGGGCTGGGATGGGACCAAGACAGCACGGGGTCCATAATGGGAACACAGCAGGCTCACGTGGCTTCCTCACCTCCTGACGGCTTTTGGAGAGGCCACGGCAGCACCTCCCGCCCCTGCCCCGGCACTGGTCAGCCTCACCTTGCACGGTGAGCACAGCCTGGGTGCGAACCTCCCCGGCGCTGTTCCAGGCCTCGCAGGTGTAAGTGCCCGTGTCCTCCGGGAACACCTCCTGGATGCACAGGCTGTGCCGAGTGCCCCTCTGTTCGAAGTGGAAGTCCTCCGACTCCTGGATCTCGTTCCCGTTGTGAAGCCAGATGACCTCAGGGGGTGGGTTCCCTGAACGGGAGGAAGGTCGGGGCCTGGTCAGGGGGTGCTTTCCTGGGCCACCTGGCAACTCTGCACATAGTGCTGGGCCACTGTGCTAAGTACCTCACTAAACCACGCTTCAGCTTCCTATCCAGAAAGTCTTCTAATGCATCTGCCTCCCAGGTTTCTTGGAGGATGAACTGAGCTCGCACAGCCCACTGGGATGGCAGGTGACACATCATGTGGCACACGGAAGTGTTCAATGCATGCTCATAATTATTTCACTGGTCTCTCCTCTCACATGGAGGCTCCCTAAACCTCTCACATGGAGGTTCACCCCTATGCACCAGACTGCCAGAGGTGAAAAAAATAGGATTTCAAAGATGAGAAAGGAAACCCAGGAAGAATGGTTTTTAAAATTAGAATTCAAACTGCCTGAGAGGCAACTGGGTCACTGGGTTTGAAGGGACCTTGTTTCCGCTCTACGCTGACTCGCACTGCGCAGTTGGCGTCACTTTATGGCCACTCCCTCGCCATCCTCAGCAGAAGGGAAGCTCCGCTGCATCGTGTTGTTACCGTACAAATGTTGTCTGAGGGTGAGGGTGGGCCCCCGCTCATATGGGATTTCTCAACAGGCTCATGAAGAACAGCACTTTCAGACTTTACTAGTCTATCTTACAGGTGGTTTCCAGCAATTTATTGAGGCAGAAAACAGTGGCCATCTGTGCTGGTTTCCTCTATGATAAGAGCTGAGCCACTCTGCTCTCCTGAAGAGGAGCAAGGCCGAGGCGGGCGGGGAGGCAGGCTGGGTGGTGTCAGAAAGGAGGGGATGCGTCTGGAGGCCTGGTGCACAGCGCCTCAGATTTCTGTCAGAGGAGTGCAGACAGGGGAGGGGACGCAGCCCTCCCGGGGCTGCCTCCTGCAGCAGGAGCAGGAAGCCCTAAGGGGTGACCCCGAGGGTTGTCACAGGCCATCTTCATTGCTTCTGCAGTTCACGAGGAACTAAGAACCCAGGAGGGCCAAGTGAAATGAGACAGACAGAGAAAGACAAACACCACATGATTTCACTTACACCGAGAATCTAAGGAACAAAATAAAGAAACAAAAGAGAAGCAGACTCATCGACACAGAGAAGACTGGTGGTTGCCAGAGGGGAGGGGGCTAGGGGACTGGGTAAAAAAGGTGAAGGGGTTAAGAAGTACAAATAGGCAGTTACAAATTGGTCACGGGTTTGTACAGTACAGCAGTGGGAATATTGTCAGTAATATTGTAATAACTGTGTATGGTGCCAGGCGGGGAGCACTTTGTGAGGGGTATGATGTCTGACCACTGCACTGTACACCTGAAACCAATGCAAAATAATACTGAATGGAAACTGTAATAAAAAGGGATAACACACACAAATAGAATCCTTTTATTAAAGTACTTCCCATTTTTCTGGCAATTATGTGTGTGATGATAAAAAAATAAATAACGACCCAGGAGGGCGACCTCCAGGGTGTCAAAGGGACTGGGCAGTGGCCAGCACTGTCCATACCGTGAAGGGGGACCTAGCTCCCAGGCTCCTGCTGCTGCCTCCAGCAAGGGCTGTGACAGCTCACATGGGGTAACCACCAGCCCCTATTTAGAAGAACCTCTGCCCGCCCCCCTTCTCACCTAAAATTTGAATAGAGCAACTGAGAGCATCTTCCAAGGGTTGGGAAGTCTTCACATCATCTGGTTTAGTACCTGTGTTCAAACCTCCCAGCTACATTGGGTTTTCACATCAATCCCTCACCCTCTAGCCATGGCCATCTCCTCCCCTGGACCATGTGACTTCCAACGCAGAAAACCCTGCCCAGAGAAAGAGGAAGGAAGGACCCAGAGGTTCTGCGTCATTGGGCCCACTGAGGTCCCATGCCTGTTTCCTGGTAGACAAATGATCTGAGGGGACCTCAGGGAACAATGCCCCCCCACCCCCACCCCAAGGAGACAGATGCAGCGACAGACCTGACACCTGGACTGTCATGGTGACCTGGCTTCCATCCATGACCTTGAGGTCAGAGAGGCCTTGCAGGAAACGGGGCGCAGCGGGCTTGCTGGGGGCCGTGGGCAGAAGGTACTCACTCTTCCTGTCACTCTTCTTTTCTGTGTGGCAGACAACAGACGTGGGATCAACATTCGTTCCTTCGTTTGACAAACACAGACTAAGTGACCCCTGGGCACTGGACTGCCAGGCTCTGCTCCCCCTAGAAACTGACCACCGAGAGAGGAGTGTGGGGAGGCCCTGGAATCCGCTGGGGACTAGGCGTGCCTGCTTCCCTGCCTGATGTGGCTGTGCTCTTGCCGGACAGCAGGGAAAGAAGAGGGCCCTGCAGGGCTGGGCCCAATCCAGGTTCTGGTTCCTCAGGCGAAAGTCATGGGGGTAAGAGGGCATCTTATGAGATTTTTTTCTTCTTAAATTCATTTACTTTTTTAAGCAAAGGACACCCTCGTGTGGCACAAAAGTTACTGACGGGTACAATGTAACGTCTCCCTTCCATCCTGTCCTCCAGCCATCAGGTGCCTATCTCTCCCCAGAGGCAGCCAATTTTCAGTTTCTTGCTCATCTTACCAGAGGGGATCTATGTGTATAACACACACAAGCAAAAGGCACACTCTTTTATTTCCTCCTCTTAAAAAATGGTCGCACAGTGCACACAATGACTGGCGTCTTGCTTTTTCACTTAGCGATGTATCTTGAGGTCTCTTGTAAAATAGAACTGAAGAGCTTCCTCACTGTTTTCTGCGACCTCATGATGCTCCGTTGCCCCATTATGAGATCTTAAGCACCCAAGAAAGCCAGACATAACATGCATTGGAATAACTAAAATGGAAAAGACCGATCACCCTAAGCACTGCTGCGGTGGGGTGTGGAGCAACGGGGAGCTCATAGAATGCTGTGGGGGTGTAATTCGGAACACACCCCTTTGAAAGCAGTTTGGCAGTTTCTTAAAGAGTTAAACATACATTTACAATATGATCCAGTGATTCTACTCTTGGCTACTTATACAAGAGAAGTGGGAACACATATTTATTCATAGACTTGTCCACAAACGTCCATAGCAGCTTTATTATTAATGGCCCTAAAGTGAAGACAACCTATCGACAAGTGAATGAATAGACAAATGGTGATTTAGTCATACAATGGATCTTTATCACAACATTGAGGGTCTCATTAGATTTCTGGAGGATCTCACTACATTTATCGGCAGTTTCTGGCAAATTATTGAAAGACCTTAAAAGTGCGTTTTTTAGCTCTATATCCTCCATTTCTGTCATGTTTCTTTGTCTCTGCATTATTTATGCTTTCTTGGTGCACCCCCTTGTGGTCTTTGTGCGCAGTCTTGTTGTAGTTAAGCCTTGATTGTTGTCGGCAATACTGGGGGTGATTTGACCTTCAGGCTAACTTGCTATGAGAGTCCTAGCCATACAATGGAATACTACTCAGCAAAAAGGAATGGATTCATGATAGACACTAGTGCTACGACAGGGACAAATCTCACAAAAATTACATTGAATAAAGGGAACCAGACAAAGAAAGAGTACATACTGGATGATTCCATTTACATAAAATACTAGGAAATGTAAAATAGTGATAAAAATGGTTGGAGGGATGGACTATAAAGGGGCATGAAGAAGCATTTGGGGGTGATGGAGAGGTCATTTCTTAAAGTTGTGGTGAAGGTTTCAAATTAAATAGCATAAATATATGCAGTTTATTGTACATCAATATTACCTCAGTAACAATGGAGAGAAGGGCAGGGGTGTATCTCTCTCTCTCTCTCTCTCAGAATGCACCAGCTAGTCAAAGACATAAACTAGATAAGTCTTTGGGTTCAGGGCTGGCCCACTCACTCCCACTCATCTTTCTGTGGAGATAGATTGACAAGTAGGCTTTCCATTATTCTCGGAACCCTGCCCAAGCTGGGCTGTGACCTGCCTCATGGGAGCTGAAGGGGAAAGGGCAGCAAAGGGCCTGAGCTGGAGTCTACTACCCACCCAGAACAGCTTGGTGCACAATGAACTCACAGCTGCCCCATCTCTGATCTTGGCCTCTGTCCTGTGACCTTCGATAATTCCTTTTGTTAGTTTTAATATTTTTGCCTTTTGGTGGGGCAGGGGCAAGGGCAGAGAGGGCTATGCTATCTCTAACTCTTATCAGACACTAAGCTTAGGGGAAAGGGGACTCTGGTATGTTGGCTCCTTTTGACCCAATACCAGGGTCACCAATACCAGGTCTTCTCCAGGAAGCCGGCGGTGTGGTATACACGTCCCCGGTGCTTCCCATACCTGGGAAAGGCCTCCACATTTGCCAATGAATTTTTATGTTGGCCCTGAAAACAAAATACAGCCCATTGCACAGCTCTGCCAGCCCAGCCTCTGGAGTGACAATGGGAAGGCCTAGGAGGCTGGAGGAAAATCCCCGTCGGGTGCCCTGTGAAGGGCATGGAGCTGAAGTGCAGGGCAGCTGAGGCAGGGAAACCCTGTAGCCCATGAGCAGGGCACGGGCTCTCAGCCCCTGCTCCCTCCCCAGCCTGCTGCATTGCTGCCTTTGACTGAGGGGCAGCCAGGCGGCAGGCAGGAGGCCCGGGAGGGGCTGGGCCCAGCACTGGAGGTGCCGAGACTCCGGTGCTCTGACTGGGCGGCCGTGGCCAGGAAAGCAGGCTGCCTCGGGAGAGTTGAGGAATTTCCTGTCAGGACAGACTGAAAGGCTTGAGGACAACATGTTTTCGCCTGTCCGGAGCCCTCCCTGTCCCGCCTCCCTGCTCTCTGCCAGAGTCCCAGCCCCACAGAGCTCCCGGCAGATGCACCCTTGTTCCTCAGCCACCCCCTCCCTCCGGCCCCAATCCTCTCTGGGGTCTTCCCTGCCCACTGCCCAGTGTCTTGACCTGGGGCTTTGACAGCCTATGGGTCTCGGCCAATGGGAACGAGAAGCATATCTGTGCCTCTCTCTCCTGAGAGGTGCCTGCACCCCCTCTCCCCCCCTAATCACCATGGGGCAGCTCACTGGAAGCCACAGGAAATCTAGGATCTGAGGCCGGGTCATGACCTCGGGCAAATCACTGCCTCTTTCTGAAGCTCAGCGTCCTCCTTTGTATGTAAGGGTAGTGATGGGGCAGCAAAGGCATCATCCCAGGACGTCAGGAGTTTCAGAGAAAACGTGAAAATACTTTGTATGGCTACTCGTCATCCATGACAGCCCCTGTGTGAGGCTCAAGGTGGCGAGGGGCTGGCTGGAGATGCCCCCTCCTCACCACTTAGGCTCAGGGTCGAGGTGGCTTATCAGCAGCAGAACAAACGAAGGCTGGGCCCTCACCCAAGGCTGACTCACTTTATGCGACCTGAGGCAAATACTGTTTAGGAATATAAATGCTGGCTTTAAAATATCAAGAGATAGATCTGAAGTAAATTGAGAAGGAGCTTTCCCTGCACTCCCTCCAGGAGGGGGATAGTGACTGAACTTATGGGAACTGGCCCTGGACAGGCATTGAGCTCCAGGGTCACCCCTGCCCTCTGACCCTGTTCTTCTTCTCCAAGGCCCCCCAGCAAGAACAGAGGAAGGAAGGACGTGACGGGGAGTAAAAGTGCGAAATGAACCTGCTCTCAGACCTGCAGGTTGGGGTCACATGGGCCTGGAGAGACTTTGAATCTAGGCTAGTGCACGGCTGAGTCATCCCCAGCATTCAGCCACTTACAAGTCTGCAAGGGCTGAGAAAGCCAGCCCACCCTCCCTACGAACACACTGCACTGGGACTGGGGAGCACGGAGGAGGGGCAAGCAGCTTCCTTTAGGTGGTCCGAAAAAGCAGCCCTAACAGAATCCTGACTCCCCAGCAGAACCCCACCACCCGCGTCACTGACCAAGCGGCCAGGATGTGCTTATAGAAAGTGACTTTGGCGAGGTCACGGAGCCTGTTAAATGCAGTCCTGGAGCTCACACCCAGGCCTCCCGACAGCGAGGCCCAGGGGTTCTGGGGACGGTCTCCTCCCAGGGAAGCAGCCTTCTCCCGTGACGCCCAAGGTGAACCTGCAGGAGGACAAGTGTATTTTCTGCAGATCTGTATCCTAGACCCTCCTCGAGGGAGAAGCCCTAAAGCAGAGAGGGGCAAGCCAGGTGAAAAGGGTGTCTAATTCCAGAGTCAACCAGGTGATTCTGGCTCACTCCTGTGTGGATGCAGATAAAGTCAGGCAGGTGGACACTGGCTCTGAACTCAGCTCTGGGCCAAAGGGGTTCCCAGCCCACGCCTCAGCATCCTCTCCTCTAGATTGCTGGTAACAGTCATCATCAATTATTAATGACTAGAGGCCCGGTGCATGAAATTTGTGCGGGGGGGGGGGGTTCTCTCAGCCCAGCCTGCACACTCTCCACTCTGGGACCCCTCAAGGGATGTCGGACATCCTTCTCACAATCCAAGACTGCTGGCTCCCAACCACTCCCCTGCCTGCCTGCCTGATTGCTCCTAACCTCTTCTGCCTGCCAGCCCAATCACCTCCTACCCACTCCCGCTCTAACTGCCCTTCTGTGCAGGCCTGGTCACCCCTAACTGCCCTCCCCTGCAGGGCTGGTCACCCACAACTGCCCTCCCCTGCTGACCATCTTGTGTGTTGGAGTGATGGTCGATTTGCATATTGCCTCTTCATTAGATAGGATAATACTATAGTTATAAGTGGACTGTATATAGTGTCGGTATCATGCATGATCAATACTGCCGGGTTTTTCAATGATTCAAAGAAATAACATGTAAAACTGCTAGAACAATATCAGGCAGGGAATAAGGATAAAATTAAATGTTTTGTGCCTTATATAACCCAACTAACCTTCTTGGTTGGGCAAACTCAAACTGACAATCACTAGGAGAAAAGTCCCCATTTACCTTGATTGAGGCAGAGTCTGAGATAACATTATAACAATTCCTCACACAGTTCAGCATTTCATGATGCTGAAGGATGTTCATGATTGAGTGTCCTCCTTAACTTCCTCTGAGGTGGGGGAGATTGAGCCCCCATTCGCCGTGGAGGGAACTAAGACCCGAGGGCTGACCTGGTCGGCAGGTCTTGGTCTGGGCTCTCTCCCTCCACTGACCCAGAACACAGGCCCAGCCACCT